CAGACAGACAGATGATAGATAGATAGATAGATAGATAGATAGATAGATAGACAGATAGACAGATAGATAGATAGATAGGTGAAAATATATAGGTCAAACCAACATGAAATCTTTGAGTTCATTTGATTACACTGATCTAAGTAAAGCGATGGAATTAGTTTTGTCCACACAGTGATTACTGGTTAGTAAGTGTGTGATGATGAATTCCAGCATTGGGTGTGGACAGCAGTGTGTTTTGCGTCACTACTCCATGAGTGAGCCTGGATCCTTTGTTTTACATTTCCTCAAGGCACTCCTTTGTGATCTCACATCCTGTAAAATTGGCACCTAACCCCTACACCTACTAGTGAACTGAGTCGTTCTAGATAATGACCGTGATTAGGGTGATGAGGTTTTAAACCATTTTTCCCATGTGTCCTCCATATTTGCAGAAGAATGCTGTTATTGATAGCCTGCAGGAACAAGTGAACAATGCCAAGGACAAGCTGCTCAAACTGATGACTGCTAGCCACCCCTTGGATGGAGAAATGGACTCCTCCAACACTAACCTCAACTCCACCTCCACCCAAACAACAGTGGTATCTCCTGATTCTCCAACTCTTCTTCTAATGAAATACTCAGAAGTTGCTCCCACCAGAGCTCTCGCTCCACCTCCCTATGTGCCTCCTCCATCACTTCCCGCTCACACTACCTCACAGCAAACATCCTCTGAAGGTCCAGTAGCTACGGATGTTGTGAGTCTGAATGGAAACACAGAAGAAGAAGTTCCAACCATGAACAATCTCAGAAACTCAGGTCTTGGAAAAGAGATTTCGGAGAAGCCACTAGATGTGCCTTCGGATCGAGCCAATTTAGCCCAGGGTTCCTCTCCACTAGGTCCCGCTCGATGTAGTTCACCACAGGTTGAGTCTCCAGTGCCATCGGCTTCTGTTGAGCTTCTCGCCATGTCACCGACGGGACGACAAGGTTTTGTAACTAATGAGCAGCTGGTGGAGATCTTGCAGGACCTGAGTGTGGATGCTGTAAGTAGCTCCGCCAAGTCCCACGACCGGGCGCGAAGCCCGTCCCTCAATCCAGATGAACTGAGCACGGCTCTTTCTCCTCTATCTCCTCTACAGTTCTTCTTCCCCACCATCTCACCCTATGTCATGCGTAAACGCAGACCACCTTTTTACTCCTCAAGAGGTGTACCTCCCCCTTACTATTTTCCAGGCTCGGTTCCTCCAGGGCGGAGGAGGGCACCAGCACTACCGGACCATGGAAAGTTGAGGGATGATGACTCTCAAAGACAAGACTTGTGGCATAAGGGAAAGAGGAGGAGAAGGGGTGAGAAAGCACAGGCTCGATGTGGCTCGGGACAGGAGAGTTGGGAATGTTCTTCTCACAAATGCTCCATTACGCCTTTCACAGGACAGGTTCCTCAGCCTGCCTCTGCTGGACTGATAGAGGGGGTTAAACACTCAGAGGAGCCATATGACTACTCAGACTCAGACTCCAGCAGCTCAGAGGACTACTGTTACTACCAGCGGCCCTACTGCGGGGCCTGTCATCAGCTCTACGACTCCACAGACAGCCTCACCTCAGGGACCTCTGACAGCGAGGATGAGGACTTCTACAAGTCAGCACATCCTGCTGTAAACTTTAAAGTGGACCTTAAACCAACCTTTGTATGAACAGACTGCACATCCACTATTTGTATTTGAAGTGGTGCTCTTTTTGTTTTGTCTGGATTTAATTATTCAGATATACACTACTGTAAGACGTTTTTTGAAAGAAGTCTCTTATGCTCAGCAAGGCTGCATTTATTTCAAAAATATTTTCAAAATTCTTTATCAGAAATACAGTAAAACAGTAATATTGTAATATCAGCATATCAGAATGATTTCTGAAGGATCATGTGGCACTGAAGACTGGAGTAATGATGCTGAAAATTCAGCTTTGCATCACAGAAAAAAAAAAAACATTTTAAAATATATTTGAATTGAAAAGTTATTTTAAAAACTACTTTATATAACTTTAAAAAAATCATAATCCTTCCAAATAATTTGACCCTGTATGTTAAAAATGCACTTCATACAGACTTGAATACCCCTCTTCTATGATGGCCATTATTATTTAAAACTTACATGTTTAATAAAAAATTATTTAGGCATTTTTGGTGGTGTCTAAAGTCAAAAATATCTTGGATGGTTAATAACAAATTTCCCATTAATAGCTAAATTCTAAAAACAAAAAACAAAACAAACTCTGTGAGTCAAGGTCAGTATTTTATTTTATTTTTTATTTTATTTTTGGCAAGGTTCAGGTTTTCAGATGTCAAACTGAATCTGGTATAATCTGGAATACTGTTTTTTTTACATTGAAAAATATGTTTGAAAACTATATTATACACACATTTTATTAATTTGATCGATCACATTTTTAGTAAAAAAAATGTATATTATGAAAAGGAAAAAAACTAAATTGAACATAATGTACTGGGCCATAAAGTAGTAGTATGGTGGTCTTGCTTACCTCTTCTCTGATTAGCATAAATAATGAAAATGAGCCATTTGAGTAAGTGGAGATGGAAAGTGAGCCAATACCAAGACTGTTTGTTAAAAAAGGTATTTGTTTACACATATGTCTTCAAGAAAGCTATTATATACAGTTTCAGGAATATCCATAAACTTTTTATGCATTTCAAAAATTTCTAAATCAAAATTGTAGGTTATGGCTGATTTTTAAAATCCTATTTATAATTTATTTAGAAAAGCTGTGTAGCCTAAAAGAGAGATTAGATGAGGAAATTGGCAATGCAAATATTGTAAAAACAAAACAAAACAAAAAACAAATCAAAACAATCAGCTATGAAGTTAGCTTTTAATGTGTTTTCTATTGTTTTCTATTGAATTCTTACTAAGTGCATTGATCATTTCAATTTGCTTTTACAGTCCTGTGATATTCAGTAGGCTCTCCTAGAAATTAAATATTTCCAATTGATAAATCTTTTTTCTTGCAATATTAAAATGTTTTATTTTGTGCTACATAAAACATTCCATAGTCATTGCTTTGGTTTTAATATAGTACTTATTTTTGGCTATTCTTTTTGGTGTGTGTGGAGTTTTTATAGAGGTTCTATGTTTACCGAGGCTGTTATATATTTGTTTATCTCCATATTTATCTAATTTAAACTCTTAAGGAGGAAATGTGACTGAAGAACTTGAGCTGCATCGTTATTTGTTTAAACAGTGTTTTTTTATTTTTGCATGTATTGCATTTATGTAAATATTTTAGTATGTGTGAATGTTTATATCTATGTGTCCCTCTTGTAAACATGTTTTCTCTATGAACCTAAGTTTGTTATTGAATCTCTCTTAGTAAGCTATGAACATCTACAGTACAAACACATGAACATGATTGCATACGGATACTAAAATACTGAATGTAAGTGATGAGATGTGTGTTTATCTTTGTTTGTGCATGTGAATAAATGTGTGTACAACTGTATATATACATATGTGCATGTGTGCAAACACACATCCACACTTGCCCAAGGAAGTATTTGCATTAAGGAAAAAAGAACTTGCATTATTTGCATCACATGTTCTATTGCAGATGTAGGGCTATTTGTGAAACATCATTGTAAAATGTTCTCAAAGCAGCAAGATCACATCACAGAAAAGAGTGATTTTGAAGTGCAGACATTGCAAAACATTCTGCATAACATACAGGATGTACAGTACAATGGTTACAAATAAAACATGCACTGTAGCTCTAAAAACCACAATAATGTTGATGGCCGGGGGAAAGAGAGAATCTGCCCATCTACAAAATGTAAAGAAGCAATTATGTTGTATGCTGAGTTATGCAAGCCCACTGCAGGAATGTGCAGTCATTTTTAGCTGAAACATGCCTATGTTATGTACATCATCCTTGCATTTGGATATTTATACTTCCCTGCTATAGTAGGCAACAAGTGTTATGTTAAATGAAAACCTTCAAACAATTTGCTAATGCATAAGACTGCATTTAAAAGCTGTCAGATTCTAAAAGTAAAAATAAATAAATAAAATGTAAAAATGGCAGACAACTTATTTAACAACACCCCAGTAAATTGTTTTCCTGATTGTTCTTAGTACGTCACAGGTCAAAGAATACACCGTTCAAAGGACAAAGCCAACATGGTAGGATAGTTGTTTGTCAAATTTCAAATTCAGTATTTACTATAAAAATATAATGGTGCGGCACCCATTCACTAAAGGATCCATTGGTGTGCAATGATGCAATGCTAAATTTATGCAAACCTGTACGAATGAATGAACAAACTCATACAAACTCAACTATTGATTAACTGTTCATTTGAGCTTTTAAAACTGCCCCACATCTGTCATCAACCTGCTAGTAATGTCTGACACAGTTTGAATAGAACATGTATCAAAATGGAACTGCTTGTATGTAAGGGCCAGACACACTTGCAAATGACATAGCAGTTTTGTTTTAACTAGAGAGTTAAAAGGTCACAGTAATTCTGCTGTCTTAGCGTTGTGATGCTACTGAAACACCTCTCTTTTCAGCACAGTATAAGATGCACATTCACTGCCAATCTTACCGAGTCTTGCTGACCTAAGAATATATCGGGCAAAATGTTGTATAACTTGGATGCAATTTTTTTTTTTTTATTATATATATATATATATATATATATATACTTTTTCTGTCAATATGGGGTGCTGTGTGTACATTAATGAGGAAAAAAAATTAACTTAAATGATTTTAGCAAATGGCTGCAATATAACAAAGAGTGAAAAATTTAAGGGGGTCTGAATACTTTCCGTACCCACTGTATATATATATATTATTCTGGAGGATTATGGTTCTTCCATTGAAGTAGCTACATGTTAAAGTCTTTTTGTGACGATTGTATCCATCCTGACAATTCTCCTGTGTAAAATAGCCTAAGTTAAAATTCATAAAGTTCAAGTGGCTGAGCTTGAATCTAATCTAATACTATACTCTTTTATTAAAATACTTTTAAAATTTGCAACATGTATATTATTTTTTGTAGCTCAAAAGGAACTAGACACATTACATTGTGCTGAGGCTCTAATTACATAATTATAATCAAAACTGATGGAAGACGTGAATGATATGTAGCCTACATTACACTGTACGAATGGCAACGCTTTTATTTATTTACGTGTTTTATTTATTTTTTTACGAATGGCAAAAGCGCCAGGTCAAGGAATAGATCACAGGAGCTCAGCTGACCAGCAACAGTGTAGCTTGGTTACTTTTACGCCTTTGATGCTTCTTCACGATTGGCCCGTATCGTTTCCTTAGTTACGCTTATTGGATGATTTTACAATCAGTCTTTCCACGCGCCCGCCCACTTTCGACTTCCGCGCGTCATCCGTGGTTGCAGAACACAGATTGGCAAATTACCCCATGTGTTCTGCGGACACACGCATTCGATTGGCTGAGTGTCTCGCCGTCGCCCCGCCCATCTACGAGGAAAGGCGCTGGATTGGCTGGCGCCGACCTCTCCGGGCCTTCCTGCGCGTTCACCTTTTCCGATTCTTGACGCAGCGAAGTGGCGTAACCCCATCTGTGCTCCCGTTCCACTCTATTACAACTCCTGCGCACACAGCGCAGTTTACGTTCACCGGTCGGAGTGACAAAGAGAACGAGCACACAAGAGATAAAAAAGGACTTTTCTGAATTACCGTGGGGATTCTTATCACCGTTTCCTTTCGGAACCGCACATTTGGCTCGTTTCTTGAACTACCCGTGTACATTTGGGATTTCTTATTTGGTCATCCGTGTGCATGGAGTTAAGTGGGTCGGAGCGGCCGAGGATATCAGTCTTGAAATTGGGCAATTGGAAAATTCTCACTCGTATCGTTGGTTAGAGCAAGGAAGCCGCCATGGCTGGTGCTACTGGATCGCAGAGTCTCCACCTCAGTGTATGAAAAATACTGAATGGTGATGAAAAACCACTCGAATTTCTCAGCGTTTTGAGGGTATTTTAGACACGGACTGTGTTCTTTGTGTAAGTCTGTTCCAGTCAGAGAGAAAGAAAGAGACGAGTATCGGTGGGTTTTGTTCGAGGGAAACTGGGAAAAGGCCAATTTCATGAGCGCCTTAATTCATGACCGAATTTATCTGAGGTTTCATCACTGAAGCTTCACTGATAGTCACAGGGAAACGATGGTCTGAAGGCGAGACGCTTGAGAACTCACTTAAGAAAACGACCGCGAAGGGACCCCGGACAGCCGAGCCGCTTTCGCCCATTTTCCTTCTTATTGAAGTCGGAGACAAACTGCTTCCCGCGGGTCGAAACGGATTCGTTCAAGACTAACAGTCGTATTTTACTCCGAGAGACGCGTGGGATTTCGGATTGGAAAATGTCCGGTCGGCCCAGAACCACCTCCTTCGCAGAAAGCTGCAAGCCAGTGCCGCAGCCGTCGGCATTCGGCAGCATGAAAGTCAGCAGTAAGTATCATTTTTGGACGCCGGGAAATGTGCTTTGGCGAGGCTGCTCGTGCTGTTGACCTAACCTGGTCGCTTTAATAACCGAGAATGGGCGCATCGAGCCAGTCAGACACACGAGCAGAGATTTAAGTGCCTTCAAGTGTCACCTTTGGGTGAAATACGACGTGCCCCATTTTAAATCGGTCAGCGTGCTTTATCCCTCAGCCGAA